AATCCCTCTGATCCCTCTGAACTGCCAAACATGAACATGGTAAAGAAAGACATCAATTGCAAGTGCAGGCAACATTGTCAAATATATGAGGCCATCAGCCCAAACACATGTTACCTGAAATCATGCTGACATCAAGTTACTGTTGGATTTGACTTTTTTTTTTATACGAAATTTGAAAAAAAAAAATCAAAATTTTTTCCCTATAAATACCTAAGCCATTTATACCCTATTTCTCACATTTTTTCACCATTTCATACTATCATACCTCATTTTATTTCAATTCTTCACCAATTTGTCACATCCTTTTCATTATATAAAGATAGGAAATCTAGAGGCTTATTAATTTAACTACAAGTGGTAGTTAAAATATGTTCGAAAACCTTATTTTAATATGATAGTTTAATTCAATTAAAATAATAAATTATTGAGGGGCTAAAAAAGAGCCTCCTTCGGTTGGAGATGGGTTTTTTGTCGAAGGGTTATGTTTAGGCCTATGGCCTTTTGACCCCTTCGGTTGGAGATATAAAATATGATATGGCACTATTCATTAAAAATAATTTCTTGCATAACTATAGGGCTAAACATGGCCCTTTGACCCTCTTTCAATTGAAAATGGCCTGAAGGCACATAAAATTGACTAAAATATAAATGACACTTCAACATTAGCTGCATTGCCACAAAACCTTGTTGGCATATATGGCCTAAATACTATTGCATGTCATAGCACCATCACATAAACAATTTCACACTTCGTTGAACATAGATTTAACGTGTAGAATGTGAAGAAAAAGGAGGAGGAAACAAAGGGCTACAAATCATGCATAGATTACCTACTAGTTCACCAATTTGTAAATAACTTAGTTTGATGTACAAATATCATAATCGAAACCTTTCGTTCTCTACCGTCATCTAAAAAATCATCTATGAAACGAAAAAAAACATTCAATTTGAATCTCGTTTAACCATCTATATTGTCAGATAAATCGAGTTTGATAACAAGATCCTTTTTCATGATGGGTTCCATTTATTTTGTATGCATAACGAATGACTGAATGAGTTCAAAATTAAAAGTTTCTTTATTTTCTAAAAATTATCTTTAAAACAAGATAAAGAGAATGAACAATTTTGATTATGATGTTTGTACATAAGAAATATGTTAATCATAAGTTGGGTGGATAGGTAGGGGCATCCATGCGGTGAGCACAAGTATTTTTCTTGATGAAAACCAGTTAAGAAGAAAAACACTTGGAAACAGTCATAACTTGTAATACACAATCTGAAAAGTGTGTTAAAACTTTTAATTTGTGTTTTCAGAAATTATGTATGTTTGGATCCGATATAAAGAGGAAAACCATGTTTGTAGAGAACAACACAAATCATAAAGTAGGGGTTAAAATTGAATTGAAAAAGAAGACCTAACTTACACCCACATGCCTATGTCATGACACCTGTGGATTGGACTATATTTCTCGAAAGCATCTTGGGAGGGAGTGTCTCATTTGTGAGGATAACCATGGATTCCATTATGCAAATCCAAACAGAAGAATTGTATATTATTTTGAAGGAATAATTTCATATGGCAAGCAAAAATATTAAGTCGGTGGCAGGCACCATATTTAAATGGCTAAAATGCCAAGAACTGGATAGGCATACTGGCAGTAAGCATAATAATACGAGTGCCCCAGCTTCTTGGATGTTTCTTGGTGCTCTACCACACTTACTGCATCGGACGCTGCCTAATCTTTTTAGGAAAGGGAAATCAGATTTGGATTCTTCTTGTGCGAAATGTAAATGAGTAATTTGGCTACTGTTGTAATTATTTTAATTTTTAATGGGAGGGTTTTGGAGTCTCTGGACCGCCAAGTTTGATGTTTCGTTTCAAATTATGGACTAGTTACAGATAAAAAATAAAAAACCGCAAGTCTGAGAGTAAAATTAATTTGAGAGCTCCAAGAAAAATATTTTTGGGGTGTAAGTTTTGATTCACGTTGGATTCGTGGGGTGTATTCAGAAATCAAAGTCTTAAATTTTAGGCCTAAATAGTCATTTTAGTATAATATTTTAATATTCAATATTAAAATTTTAAATGGGGTGTCGACAAAACAACTTTTTATTATTCTTATGTCAAAAGGGAATGTTACTTGTATTCCAAGTCTATAACTTGCATATATTATACTCTACACATATCAATGAAATTATTCAGTTGAAATTTTTTACATGGTATCAATCATTTAGATTCTTTTCAAGGCTTAATTTTTCTCTCGGCCCCTTTCCCTTCTCTTGACTCCAGGTTATACAAGTTTACATATCTCTGGTTTAAGAAAGCAAGATAAACTTGTGATTGTACACAAACTTGTAGTTTTCTTAACATATACATAAGGGTTTTTTTTTTTTAACAATTATCTACACAGTGGGGATGTAGGCTAAACCTCATAACGAACTAGTGATAATGTAGAACAGGTACATAAGTTTGCATACAAAAATGTTCAAAGTTTTTTTTTATGTGATTAAGACATGGATTTAATGATGGTATACATTTGGTTTTTTTTCTGGTCAAGTTTACAGCCACTAAAATTCTTCCTCGACTTTCTCCATTACTGGTGGTTGCTTGAAAATAATTTCACTTGAATGTCATCATATGTGCATATTTATTAAAAAAAAAACAATATTATTTACACTATAGGGTAGAGTGTTGAGCTTAGCCTCACAATGAGCTAGTAATAATGTGGTTCAAATTCGCCTTTGGCAAAAACCGAACCTAAAACCTCTTACTTACAAGTCAAGAGAAATACCAATACCACTAGACCGTAAGTGGCTATGTGCATATTTTTTTTATCTTTATTTCTCTACTCACATAATTCATTATCACATGAGAAGAGAAATAGATAAAAGTACTAGGTAAGATAACTAATAGTGTTTCTCCCCAATAACATAACATGACCCATGAACTTGGGACATTTGTCTTGCCTAGTGTGAATTTGAACTGAGCAATTTACATAAAATGAGTTTATCAACGTTTCTATCTAATAATATAATGTTATGTAAAAACAAATTATTATTATTATTTATTATATTATAAAATTAGATCACGAAAGAACGAGAACAGTAAACGCAAAACATGCACCATGTATGTCATTATCAAATTTGGGACCCGAACGGTTCAACAGTCAATGCATTCATAGACATATAGTCCCAATGTGACATGATCAAATCCCATATCAAAAAAAGCTAAGGACAACGAAGACATGGCCTGTCCAAATAAAACCGCCCCTGGCCAAAGGGCAATTCCCCAGTCACCAGGAAGGCACAAATCAAATTGGTCAGAGGGTGATGCATGGCAATCGGTCATTTCAAAACTAATTCACCTTTATTTAACGGCTTGTAGGACGAAGAGTAACGTTTTAGTATAAAATGATTGATTTTGTTAGGGTTGCTGATGCGTGTGATTGATTTTTAATCGAGACGAAAACGTGAATTTCATTTAAATCATTCGCTGGAAGTTGTTCGACTCTGTAAACCTTACAAATTAGGGATTGAAGTTGTCCTTATAGGTTGGTCTAGAAACCGTCCCGTAGAATTTCTCTTTGAATTGGGTGTTTTTTCTGGAAAAATCTTAATTGGCGAGCAGCCTGCAACTGTTGCTAAGTGAGACTTTTTTTGTTTGTTTAAAAGCACATGCAGCCGATACATTTGAATGACCTCTCTCCTTTTGTAAATATTGTAGAGTGGAGTGGATGTCTCTTCTTTTATTCATATGTTATTCACTACAAGTATTTAACCATAATTATACGAAACGAAATCGAACTTAAAATCTCGAACACAAAGATAACCATTCAAATTATGAATTATCTTCTTTAATCAAAATTGTTATTTTTAATAATTATAGGGAATTTAGCCAGTAAGATTGTCAAGGAGGAAATTTGAGATAACTTTAGTGTGGTTTTTTTTTTTCTCGTACAAAAGTGATTTTTTTTTCCACACATAAAAAAGAGCTTAAATGATCGTATTAAACATTAAGCCTCATATATTATCGTAAAAGTTGGAAACAATTAATTTCCAACTTCATAGTGACTGAAACAATTAAGCATTTTGATAATAAAAAAAATGAAGTGTTATTGGCATTCAAAAAAATTCATTTCACGCTCCTTATAAGTGTATTTTTCTTTTTAAATATAGAAAGTTTAAAGTGTAGAATGTGAATTTTGAAATGCCAATAACAATTCTTTAAAAAAATATTTAAAAAAAAACCTCTTTCTAGCAGGCTTAACTATAATAGCATTTAGGCAGGCTTACGTAAGCTCACGTATAAAGTGCATTTAGTTTCCAACTTCAGAAACTTTTGCTGATTATGATAGAAATACAAACATTATCAAAAAAATTATTTTCCACTAATAGTTACTTTTATAATGAAGGGGTTTAATTTCGGTCAAATATTATCAAATCTTAATTAACTCTTATTTTTAAAATTATTTTGATTGGCTATTGTTAAAAGCAATTCAAAATCATGAGCATCTCTATTTGTAAATGAGAAGTTTTAATTTTGATTTTCGATAAAGGTTAATCTAAACGACGTTATTATTAATCCATTATGAAGCTAAATCTCTCATTTGCTATAGTTAATATCGATTCTTCAAAATAAACATTAAAATTAGAAATTAAAACGCTTCTTTAACACATAGGCTACTTTGGATGTACTTTTAAAATGACTGAAAGCGCTTTTAGAGAAAATGTTTTTTCGTTCCAAAAATATTTATAGTACTTTCTGTAAGAAGCACCAGTTATGTGCTTCTTCTAGGAAGCACTTTAAATGTTTTTCCAAAATTTACTTGCATTTTTAATAAGAATTGGTTCAAAAAATATTTTCACCAAAAGCACTTTCAGTAATTTTAAAAGCACATCCAAACGAGCTATTTATCTATGTGTGGAAGTGCTTTTGGTGATTAAGTTTCAAAGTTTAGATACTTTTCTTTTACTTTCCCATTTTAAATCTACCCAAGAATAAAAAAAACAAATTAAATAAAAGAATTACAACTTCAATTCATAGTTGTAACTTGTAAATCATGATTTCGGGTAAACTGATCAAGAACTAGAGACCTAAACACTCTCCACATCATTGTTTACATAAAGCCGGTCACTAAATTGCTAAAGTTAAATTCTGTGGGTGTTAAAACAAAATTGGGGTTTTCCAATGATTCATATTGTTATTTTTTTGTTCTGTTGCTTATGTATTTTTCATTTAACTATGTAGTGAACCAAATTGCATCCTCTTTGCCCCATCAAAAGCAGTTGACAGGGTCATTTCTGATGAAGCCGATGAGTAGGGACAACATGCTTTACGAAGCTCGTCATACCTTCCGACATCGAAGTTCTCAAGCTTCATGAGGCGCTTCTGCTTAGCCTCAAATCGAATCTGGCGAAACCCTTCGAAAGAGGGCTCTTTCCGGGTCCTGAGAAAGAAGGCGTATCCAGCTATGAAGTACATTGAAGTAACGAAGAAGCAAATGGGTTCCATGACGTCCCATGAGAGTTCCCAGAATGTGAGCCTCATGAATCCGGCTGTGGAGACAACCAAATAGCCAAGACCGCACAAAAGCTCCTTTCGAACAAGGGACTCCGCCTTTCGGTCTATCTCAAACTTGTGCCTCTCCATGTCTTCCAATTCCCTAATCCTGGGATCATTGGAGTTGGTTCTTGTTCCTGGAATAGGAATTAGTTCCTGGATTGCTTTGGCTATCTGCAGTAACCAAACAGTTTGAAACAATTGGGTAAAGCATGCTCAGCCTATTACTAACTAATCCTAAACGTCTACACGAAAAAAAATACTTTGACAAAAAACTGCTCAAAATATAATCAAAATAACACAAAAACTTCTATGTTTTATACTACTTTCTTCAAAAAAATAAATAAATAAATAAATAAATAAATCTTTTTTTCTGGTTGAGGGAAATTTTTTTAAAACAATATTTCAAAATATGTTATGTTAGAATTTTTCTCCAATACACCGGAATTAGATCTAACGGCTCTAAATGATGGAATATTGCCATACATACTCCGGTGTATTGTAGCCTGATCCATTAAGTTGATGAGATATGCAAGCAAAAAGATAGAGAAAGATATGGGAACAAAATGGATAACCCCATACCTAATTAGGTATGCATACCAAATACCAAATTCAAACATTCCAATAATACTTGTTGAGCTCAGCAGACACTTTACCACCACCCCCAGAAAAGAGGAAAAACTGTAACCCAACCCATCAAACTTTATGCCAACCAAGACACTAAACACCCACAAAATTTCTCATTTGAGGAAACTATTTCCCCTTTCTTTTATATAATTTCCTCCTAATTTTCATGTATAACCCGACCTATAAGATACCGCAGAGCATAATAGAATTTTCGCTAATCTCCCAAAGTAATGACACCCAATGAAATTTCCTAAATTTCTAGGTCCATCAAAAAAAAAACCACCCAACAAAAATGTAATTTTCCTTGTTCTTTATTTTTTGTTAATTTAAATTTGTTTTAATTCAGTGCAGTCTCCCGAAACAGTGTAGGTATGAAATGGGATTCTAACAGCCCCCAAAGGTGAAAAACAAAATCTGCCACGGTGAAAGACTGACACCCTTTTCACGTTTTAGGTCTCTGCCTGTTGAAGAAAACAAAATAATCATAAAAAACCATATCAGTTTTCGGCATTTCCCATATCACAGTAAAATAATTTCACTTATCGTAAATTTAATTCTACCCTCTCGGCCAACCGACCAAGACCCATCACAACAATTATCTGAAAACACCACAAAATTTTAAACATAACAACAACAATAATTCATTTCAATTCGAATAAAATCATTAACGATGTTTAATTTGGATTAATGAATTAAGATATTAATTTTACCTGTTCAGGCCTCAAGCAAACGGAATTTCCCAATACGATCACGGAACCGTTTTCGTCCAACGATTTCGCAAACCCGATACCCATATCCGGATCCGCGCAACCTTCCCGGCAGATCCCAACAAACTCCGGATACGACACCCAGCTTTTCTGGACTTCTCGAAGCTTCGATTTCACGGCTTCCAGCTGGGCCACCCTCAGCAGTTTCTTCGTTTCCTCCGTCGTCAATCCCGATTTCTCCATCGGCGAGCTCTTCCACTCGGGTTCCGGCGGGGCCAAACCGTCCAATCGGATCCGGTCCCGGCCAATGGCCACGACTTTGAGCTTCTCCATCAGGTTTGCCCCCATCGGCAAAGACCAGATCTCCTGCTTCTGGAAATTCCCCGCCGACGATCTCTTGTGGAGGAACCTCCGGAAAATGGCATTGTCTCCAGGGTCGGGGGCGATTCTGGTCTCGCGGGGCTTGGGAGCGGGTCGGGTGTGGACCGCCGACGACGAAATCCGGCAGTTTCTGAGGGTTTGGGTCGACGCCTTGGAGATGTTGAACAGGCGCTCGGCTAGGGTTTTCTTGAACGCCATTGTAATAATCTAGAGAGAGAAAATAGCGAGAATTATAGAGAGAGCTGTTGAAGCTTTGTAATGGTTATTGAGCGCATCAACAATGGAGGCCTCTGGTTCTTTATATAGGTGTCCCAATTAACGGGACGACCACGATCTTTTGAATCCCTCACGAGTTTTTCACGAGTCACGAGATTACAAATCGGGAGAAATTCCGATTTGCACGGTCCCGATGAACTTATGCCTTACGTTCTGGGCATATTCTTTTTATGCGTACTCCCGAGTTTATCTCGCTCGTTCAAGTTTCTCGTATGCGGCGAAATGCAGCCGCATTCACGGGTGATCAGATCAGGGGTTGGTGGATCAGTCACCGTACACGTGGATGGTTCGCTTCCAGCGACGCGACCTTCTCGACTGCCGACGGTCGGATTGGATGACTTTAGTTAGCTGATGGATGTTGACTGGTGTTTGTGTGGACTCGCGAGGTGGAGTGGCGTAATGAACACGTGGAAGCTAGAGAGGCGTCGTTATCTTCGGAGCCCATGGATCAATACTATGGTTGGCTGCACTGGATAATAGTTACTATTTTTTTGGGTGCCCCCAAAAGTTGGATGGCACAGCTAGGAATATAGAAACGTTCACGCAAAACGTGGCGCCACATAGGCTTACGACCGAGGTTTTGTTCATATCAAAAGGGCGCCAAAAAAAAAAAAAAAAAAAAAAAAGGGAGAGGAGAGAGCTGGCAAAATGGTAGTTTTATGGTCGAAAATATAAGTTGGGATTTTCCTTTTGACCAAAAAGGATGGTGTGATTAGTTGTGATTAATGTGAAGTTTTTATCTTTTTCCCTGTTATTATCTACTAATCAATTTTGGTTGGTTTGTTACTTTGTTTAGTTTAAAAGTGCACAAACAATTTAGATCGTTGGTGATTAGTTGAGATCGTAAGTTGAATTCATTACATATTTATGTTTTTTAGAAGAAGTAGCTATGAAATCTTAGTAACATAAACAAAGGCTTGTATATTAGTTGATAAGTCTATTTCATCCAAAATCAACTTGTGTGCAGTTTGCCATATACGTGGGGAGATTGCGATCTCAACTAATCACCAACCAACTTATTGGCACTTACGAGTGAGTCAATAAGTCTATTACATCGGAAGTAAACTCCAGCGTTGCTTGGATATAGTACCAAGCAGTAAAGTAGTGAGATCCAAACATGAGAAATATCCGTATGCCAATAGTTAGCTGATAAGATTATTTCATCCGAAATCGACTCTTGTGGTTCTCGGGGACATTACCAGGTAATTGTTGAATCATTCTAAAAAAAAAAAAATGTTTAAAGTTTGAGGTAAATTGATGGGAGGAATTGGGGGTGGACATTTTCTCCATACAAGATATGTCAAATTCTATGTTTTTACCCCTGTCCTTCGGATCATTTGTTGTAAACTAGGTTTTGGTCAATTTTTTTTTTATGTCTCCCACACATGTCCTAATCTCCATCGTAATTAGTTTTTCGTAAATTTATTAACTAGTTCACGTAATAATTAATATGTGCTTATCCAAACACTTATAATACTAAAAAATCACTCGTATTGAAATACTTATAATTTATGTCAACATTGGTGAGCGATATGTCAAATTCATTACTCGAACACCTCGTTGTTTGATTATGATTATCTGAATTATACTACAAATACATGTGCCTAAAACTCCATGTATTATGCAATTTTCTAGTCATTGCATTGCATATTATTAACCACGAGTTGCAAAATGGCGTTTAATTAACTCAAAACATTCATTTACGTGTGCGACCAAATAAATCGTCACGTATCAAAACCCTTTATTGTTGCTACTAAAATAATGATTAGCTTAATCAAACTACGTAATCATGTTTGTCCACAAGCCTAACAGCTGTCTAAGAGTCATGAACCACACTATTCAATTTGCTTTTTATATTTTGGAACCTTTGATTTCGACCAAATAACGTATATGAGTTCCAGAAGATACACACTCATATAAATATAGTTGTACATTTGCAGCTTTTTTTATTCAATAATTTTAGAGTATTTGATTCTCTATGGTTTAGTTTGTTATCCTTTCTCCACTTGGTACACTAGCATCCCTCATTGGCCAAATTTTTTGCCCCGTGCTAAATCTACTTGCATTTGTAGGCTTTATTAGTTCTTCCCTTGATGGAATTGGAGTCAAAATATTGGTAGCACCCAATGTTATGGTTTTGTAACAAGTTTAGTCTACGTTTGGTTGGAAAGGTTAAAAGCACTTTCTTACAATCAGAAGCTTTTTGATACTCCATTTGACATGAAAAATCACATGCGTTATTAATAAAAATTTAGCATTTCTCTTATGCAAGCATTTATAATATAATAATTTATGAGTAGAAGTACTTACTATAAAAGCAATCTCAGATGTGCCCTTACTCTTTAATCTTGTTTGGTGTCTAAGACTAAACAGAACATGACCAATTCAAAAGGATTAACTATCTTTTCCTACTAGTGATGAGTTTAACGAGGGTGGAACTAGATTGATCAAATTGGACATTGTTCAACATATTGGGTACAAAGTTCCCCTCTCAAAGATGAGCGGACTCAATCTCAATCTTGTTCAATCGCAACCACCAAACGAGACGTGATTAAGCTCATTTTGGTAATGCTACATGCTATCCATGTATTCGTGTCTTCAACTCCGAAGGGCAATAACGAAACTTCCTTAATACCAAAAACTCAATTGTTACAACAAAATCTAATTCCTTGTCAAATCCTAATCTCATTGAATATGCTTTGATCTGATAGCAAAATCAAGTGTTAACTCACCAAAAATAATGAAATAAATCATGGGAATATATAGACCGGTATGGTTGACATTATTGCTTAATGAACATGAGAGGCAAGAAAAAATATAACCCCATTATTTGTATAGAATAATATCCAAATTTTGATTGAGTACATGATGCTTTATTCCTTCTCTTATTTGCACTTAAACCATGTAACTTGTACATAAAATAAAAGTGACAGGAACAATACCATATGGAAGGAACCTCAGCCTCCTAACAATATTAGTACAAATAATTGTGTCTTATTGATTGAGAAACCAATTGGATTTTCTTATATCGGACAACATATATTCCTGGAAATCTACATTTAGAAGAAGATGAGAGGGTTTAAATTTGGAACACAGTTAGTTGTCTTATTCACCATGGCAATCATCCGCTTTTCCGGACAAAAATATGTTTATTCTCACACTTTTATTCCCGAAGTTTAAGCAATGATGTCGGCGAAACCAATGTTGCTGCAATATTGGTTGGATGCACTACCGATCATGTTCGGTACACGAAGAGGAGAGGAGAGGAGTGAATGACAATAATGACCTTTGAAACATGACATTTTACAAAATGAATATGTTAAAGTTGAACGTATTGAATTGTCTAATTTTCTTTTTCCCCAAGTATTGAATTGTCTAATCATTTTGGTTTTTTTGTTTTTTTGTTTTTTTGTTTTTTTGTTTTTTTGTTTTTTTGTTTTTTTGTTTTTTTTTTTGTTTTTTTGTTTTTTTGTTTTGTTTTTTTAACACAAACGATATTACATACCTAATTTTTTATATTTAGTTCTATAAATTTCTTAATGGTGGTACTCAAACGTTATTGAACTTTGCCCTGCACATTTTTTTTTTATTAAAAGTGAACGGTTGAGATTTAGTTATATTTCTATTAGTACGGTTGAGATTTAACTAATCTCACTTGCAAAACAAAAATATGTGTGAGAGAAATAAGAAAATGCACGAAATCCAAATAATCCCTCTCGTTAATGTACATGGATAAAGCAAAATAACAGATAAAAGTATGTTTACAAGGCCTTAAACCTTAACCTACATACAAGTCTAGGTGCCCATCAAGACAACTCAAAAGTGCGTGAACTACATCACGTCCAAAAGACGATAAACCCCTGTTGCTTGGCAATCTGAGCTAACCAGCAGAACTTCTGCCTCGATGTAGCAACTGAACACCGAGTCTTGCCCTCGAGAAATTTTGATTGCTTCGATCGTATAGCTTTCTTTCCATTGACAACTCTTGTCGCTATCATATACACAACCATCATGTTTACAGGAGAACTACTTCCTTATCTATGACATATTCTCTTAAGCAGCAAGGCAATTTTTTGCATTGCTTGATCAGTATGGGAGTCCCAGCGTGCCAAATAGGATCAAGAGACAACATCCCCAGCAAACAGAAAGTCACAAATCTTTTGCTCAACGGGGACAGCATCCTGAAACTCGCCATCAGCCTGCAGACTCTTCTTTTCCTTCCTATACATTTCAGCTTCACGAACTCTACCACATTTTTGGAGACCTGCTAACAACACATTGTATGTGCCCAAGAAAGGACGGAATCCCTCTCCTCGCATTGCTTCAAAAATTTGAAGTCCTTTATCAGCACTCCCAGCAGAGAAGTAAGCCCCAATCAAGGCAGTGTAAGTTACAGTGCACCTGTGATCATCAGGTAGTAAATTAAAGATTTTTGCAGCACAAGGTGTCCTTCTAGCACGCCCAAGCCTATGTATCAGAAGTGCACTAAAGTATATTCCGAGAGAATATCCAGCCCTAATCATCTCCACAACAATCTCCACGACTTTTGGAAATGACTTTGATCTGATCAAAGCTCCTACCAAAGCAAGATATGCATTCCTCTCAAGGATTATACCCATTTTCATACTATATTCGAAAGCCAATAAAGCACCATCAAGTCTGCAATGTCCACAATTTACCTCAATGATGGTTGAGGTGATAGCAGAATCCAATCGTATTTTCTTTTCTCCATTTCCAGCAAGTAAGCGGTCTATGGCAACAAGATTTTCCTTTTTCAAAAGAATCAGTACAAGCGCTTCATCAATTGTCACAAGAGCATCAGCAGCAGGTGTTCTAAACTCACTTGCCTCCTGATTGCCAGAGTCAACGAAAAAGTGAGGATGAACTTGCCTGAGGAGGGAATCACTCTCGCCAACAATTTTGAAAGTTCCAACTGCCTCTAGAAATACAGGGTGACGAAGGGCAAGGCGATTCTCTTTCATAAACAAAAGTATATGGTTCAGTGTCCATGTGTCTCCCGCTTTGCACAATTTCTGAACTAAAATATTGCAAGCCGCTTTATCAGGTTGTACTCCAGCGTCTTGCATTTTGCCGAAAATGTCAAGTGCCTCTTTGCATTTGCCTGAAACCCATCACAGATTCAGTACTTTATCTCTATTTTGGGAGGCGGGAGAGGAACATCACAAAGATGAGTCCGCATGCATCCCACCAAAAGTGCATATACGCATAGAAATCATAGCATGATGAGTCCATTTCTGAAACTGTTAATATGAAAGTCACATAAACATAATATTTTTTCTTAGGGTAATGCTAAGGAGACTAAATTTGTAGACTAAATTTAGTAAACTAAATGACATGAAAGTTGATGATTGAATTATTACATAAGTGTTGATTAGCGTGCTTATTTCTTATTGGTAACACATCATTTAGTCTACAATTTTAGTCTACCTAGCATTACCCTTATTCCTAATACACCTAATCAAAGAATTGTATTTACACATATCTTTAAGAGGGGGAATGGCAAGCAATCACAGGGTAGCAGCAACTTCATATCATAGCATAAATTATCGAAGAACAAAACCAATAACGGAAAACCTCATCTTCCTTTAGCAAACAACACACCGTGCGTAAACAAATAGAATAACCATATACACAAAATGGTAAATTTCAGTGTACATCCGCCTTTCCTAGCAAACAAAACATGCCCGACAGCAAAACGTCGAACAATCACCCATTCAGACATTATAACAAACACATAGAGCGCACTACCTGTGCGACAGAAAAAGCTACTCACCAGACCCAATCAGGTAGTCCATCAAAATAGTGTAAGTATGACAAGTTGGAGAACATCCACACTGAATCATTTCCCTGTATACGTCAGTAGCCTCCTTCACTCTGTTATCACCAAACAAAATCTTCATATAAGCAGTGTAAGAAACAACAGTGGGAGCACATCCCTGAGCTCTCATCTCCTCCCAAGTCTGCACAGCCCCATCGACATCTCCGGCATTCGAGAGCCAATGCATCAGAGAAGTGTAAGTAACGGCATCAATCTTGATCCCCTTTTCCTGCATTTGCTTGAAAACATGGGTCATTGACGATACCCTCCTGGCTTCTCCGAAAATGTCCAGCATTGTCGTGTAGGTGAACTGGTCGTGCTTAAACCCTTTAAACCCAGCAACCCAGTTGAAAAAAAGCCACGATTTTTCCATCGGAGGGTGGGTTTTGAGCACCTGGCTCACAGTGTAAGAGTCCCATCTTATGGAAAGGTTCTGCAGTTGTTCTTTAGCGGAATCCCATGTCGAATATTTGAGGATTTTGTATATGTTTGTGATTGTTTCTCGCATGTAAGTCTTCGGGTCCAAAGGTTGTTGCTTTGAAGTGGATTTGGGATGGTTTTTTGTGTTCTTTCTGGGAATTCGATTGTTGGGTTTGTGGGGTTTGAGGAAATGGATGGATTTGGTGGAAAATTTTGGACATTGGTGATCGTGGACGGCAGTGCAAGCTGCAAGGCGCTTGAGAAATCCATGGAGGTTGTAGAAACTGCGCATGGGAGGAACGATTCATTAACAATTATCACTGCGTTCAGTCTTCGCGCTTTTTTGTGTCGCTAGTAGCAGATGAGATAGTGCCGTTTTGATACTGGTTTTATATTTGGGCCCAATTTGAATTACGGTGTTTTTTCCATTTTCTTTTATCTAGGATGTTCTTTTATCTACTTGAAGAGTTGGAAGTCAAACGAAGCAAGAGTGCACTGCTCTAACCAACTTAGACGAAACTCAATTTTGTCAGTTTGATTTAGGATTTAAACTTGATTGATTAACGTATAATATTGCAAATGTGAGTTATGCCAGGGCAAATTGTGCCCATTCTTTGGGCTCGAGTTCAAATCCTTATTCTATTAGAGCAGCCAGCTTAGAATAATGCAATCGTCAACAAACAAATAGAAGTTTAATTTCACGTATTGCAAATGGTTTCCTTGTACATCTTTTTCCCTTCTGCACACCGTTGTTTGTTCATACATCAACATAGAAAACCATCATGGTTATCAATAAATTTTTGAGTTTCAAGTTGCCTCTATATTCATAACGTGTTAACAATACCAGTACCATTCTACCACTATTGATCTAATCAGAATATCATATAAACTAAAAGTATTGTTTTCACGATTAACATATTCATCAAACTATATAGACCATCCATACGATGCTAACTACAATTTTTAAGTAACTAGTTGTATCTCATGACCCACTCCATTGAGAGCAAAGCCTTCGAAGAAACTTCGAATACCTGCAATCATCTACACACACTTTGATGAATCAAGTAGACTACGACATCCAACGTTCTGACTCGTCCGATGCTCATCTTTTACCTTCGGCTGGTTAACTCGAATCTTGATCACAGTATCACTAACTATTTCAAAGAGAATCTAGTGCAATGAACAGAAATGTCGAAGGCGGTTGGTGTAATAAGGATTGGTCCTCACAAACACATATCATCTCAACACGTTTCAAAGATGGCAACTGAAGAAATCCGTTCACTTATAAGTTCTTAAATCCATTAACCATGTAACTGTTGAGAACCATAGAATAATCTGTCCCCAAAATTTCACAGATGAACTGATGTAATCAAATAAAGCAAAATCATGAAACAATTATCTTCGTTTCAACAGTGCACGATTTCTCAGCTTATTGACTAATAAAATCAAGTGTAACTTCAACCTTTTCATTATGCATCTACCATTCGGCCGTTGGACCCATTAGGCCGTCCAATATATATCAGACAGAAGATGGACGATCTTTATCTCTACCTATGTGATAGAGAATCAAGAAAAATATCTATTCTTAAGCTCATCTCATTTTGAGTATCAAATTAAGCAGGTACTGATTTGAATATGGATAGAGTGACGAAAGAGAGCTCCAAATTCCAGATAGTTATAATGCTTGCAGAGATTCCAGCCATGAAAGAATTTCTTTCATGTGCAAGGCACATGGCATCTTCCTTTCACTGTGGTGGGATCAACTGCACAACAGCGAAGAAAACCACTCTTGTGAGAGGGTGGTGCAGTGTTTGCACGCACAAACTATATGAATGTCTTAAAAGTGATCCCCTAGTAACCATCACATCCAAGTGTTCATCTTTTAGCAGCTAAGTAAAGTCTATCAAGTTCTAGTGCATATTGCAATAACAAAACAGATGAGGTAGTAAGTAATCCTTTTGATTTGAGCTTTCTTTGAAATTTTAAACATAAAGTATAACCCTGCTTAACAATGTGACTCCTTCTATCCAAAAGATACAAGCAAAAATAAAACTGTGAACTCTACCTTTTGCCTTTAAGAAATGCTATATAGAATTCATTTGACCCAAGGTGCATCTGTTTCACTAATAGACCACCAGGAAGAAAACAGTGATCAGAAACACATACCGAAAGGGAACTTCATTGGTTGGGATGCCTAATTATTCTCTGTAAAATCACTGTCCTTGCCTTCCTTATATTCCGGCTACACTTATCAGCATGTTGGCTTAGATTATCAATGGTTTCCACGAACACATCAAGCTTTTTCTTGATCTCATCTATCACTAGCTTCACAGCTACGCCCTCTTCTCTAATAGCAAAATCAGCATTTTGCAGCAGCGATTCAATCCCAATTTCAAATTTGTCAACAAGCACTCGGATGCTGTCCAGGTCCTTCAATGTAACGAACGTTCCAATCTGCATTGAGCTGATTATCTCCCTCTGCCCTTTCAGTCCCCTCTCGTAGTTATTCCAAAGCATATTACACCATTTTCCAACTGAACCTATTGGAACAGCCAACGCTCCTGCCAAGGCCGTTACAAGTGGTGGTGCAGCAATGGCAGCTGCCACTACAGAGAAAACCAATACAGAGACAAATGTGGCAACAAAAATAACATTTGACACCCTCCTCCAAGCTTTCACTGATTTCAACTTCTTATCAAGTTTTCTCTTACGAAGTTGCAGTTTCTCAAACATTGATGCCTGATTCTTATAAACTGTCTGAAACAGTCTAAAGAACTCGTCCGTGAAAGGATCCCCAGCCGCCTTAAATGCCCTCAATTCTTTTAAGGTTCTCGCACACCCATTCCCATCTGCCCCAGCCCCTACTTCTTCCTCAAACTGCCTAACTGCAGCTTGAATTATCAGCTGGTTATTGAGCGCACGCTTAAGACACTGCTCGAGGGAAGTACAAAAGTCCAATGTTTGAAGACTGTTCTCAAAGTATTCCTCTACAAGAGAGAACATTTCTTTACTCTTCCATATATCCTTCTTGCATTCTAGAATCAACTTGACCACTTCCTGGTTCATGTCGAGCAAACAATCCGTAACCTCCTTGAGCGAGTCAAGGGATAGGGACCGAACTTCCAGCCCATCTGAAAACGAGTGAATGACACGGCTTGTCCGCTGCTGGAGATTGACATCAAACGATTGCAAGGCTGGATCGAGCTTACAGGCTGCCTCGTAGGAGCTCAAATCGGCAGTGTCCTGGGAATTGGTATTGCTTTCAAGGGTTTCATGTGGTTGTGGGGGTGGTGGTGAGAGTGTTCCTGAGGCATCAACACCCTTGTTTTTACTGAATTTTCCTCCCATCATACGGGTGAAATTCCCAAAACCTAACTATGTTTGACTAATAAAAAAGGTGATTAATTTTCCTCTTAACTCAAAGATCTAAAATCTAGCAAACGCTTTGAAAATGCAGCAAACCAAGTGCTCTCCAAGCTAACAAAGTGCTCTAAAATGGAATCGAATCCAATCGATGCGTAGGTTGAAGAACTGCAAAATTGACTCAAAAATTTGAGCTTTGGCTAGATACTAAGCAACCCCAGAGCTAAAATTTCCACTTGGTAAAGTAAAAGTAAAAACCCAGATGAAAGTTTCTGAACAAAGTATGAAACTTGATGGATTTTGCTCACCAGAAAATCAGCTTAAAACGCAAAGAAAAATAGGAACTTGGCAGATTTGATCTCTCACTTCAATCCTCCACACCCTCCAGAAAGTTGAAGATTTCCAAAACCCAAGCAAAATCCAACAGAAGGAGCCAAGCCACAGATAGAGGCTTTGCAATCCCCACAAGTCAATGGTGCAGAATAATGCAGGAGAAGTAGATGTAATGGGAAAAGGAAAGTGAGATGAAATTGGGAAAGTGGCTTCGTCATTCACGAAGGAGTAGTGACATATTTTTATTTTTTTTTGTTTGGTAAACGATATATTACTAATTTTAACTAGAATTTAAATGCTGAATGAGGTGACGGATTTTGACAGAAACTCTTTACTCTCTTTTTAATGTGTGAATTGTGTTTTTGTTTTGTGCATTAAAAATAGACAAAAGAACATTATTATTTGATGTCTATCAACCAAGTCGCTCTCCCTCACATATGGTCACATATGATGCAATGGTATTTAGCCTTTGTTTGAAAATTGGAACATTTGAGGTGGTCAAATTACCTGCTAACATTCTAATAACGCCATTTCACATAACAACCACTTTCCTTCCAATCTGAATTTAATTCATCGACTCCATTCCTAACGATGCAAAAAGAATTTTTGTGGAACGAATTTATTATTACTATAACATTTTGTTTAATTTATGTACAATATTTTGAATCGTGAAGCTACTATAATGGTGAACTTATTTTATGTATGTAAGTACCATATGAAAATTTTGGAGGTAAATAAAGAAAGTCTTTGGTGCAAACGGGACGTAAGGACCAAGACACAAAATGTAGGATCGAAAGGAAGGTGCGTGAGGTCGTAATGCAAATGGAGGAGTTTGGGTGAGCAAGGCCAACCAACTGACATGTTTCTTAATTTGGCGTCGAGACTCAAGTTGGATTTAAGATTATATGAACAAAACCAACGTCATGTTATTTCTGTCATCACGATTATGAAGTGGTTTTTGAATAATTTTTAGAAAATTCATCTCGTGTCAAGAAACGTAAGAAACTCTTAACATTAACAAAATCAGCATCATTAACATTACCTGTGAATTGATTCCTTAAGAATTAGCTCCAAATTCGAATGGTTTTGCTGAACATGATTTCAAATAAATTGGAAGCATTTTGGAACGGTTGTGTGTATTAATGAGCAGTTGTGACTAAAAATGTATATATACATCACATAATGGGCAGGTAAAATTCCTCATAGCCTCTCCAAGCCGAGAAATAGTAGATAATCGTGGCTTGCTATCAGTTGTCCCCTTTATGGAAAAAAAAAATAGTAATCACCCAATGGGAGGTTGCAATTAAATTATTAACTGGTGATCGAACCCTTGCCAGCCCTTCTCCATCCAGAAACTCTCGTATGCAAATCACCCTAGTCGTCGGCCCCTTGCCATGGCTTGGGGCGGGTGGCAGCCCATCCTTATCTCCTCCACCTAGCTTCCCTTTCCATCCTTTCTTCCCTTAGTTTTTCCTTCTCCTCCCTTTTGTTCCACCGCCCTTTTCTTTCTCTTTGCGTTTCTTCACCTTTTTCCTTCCCCTATCCACGTTTTTTTTTCCTTTTCTTCAACCATGTGGGCACTGCTCTCTCTTCCCTCCCTTAACGTTTTGTGCACTGCTTTCGGGCCACCATCCTAGATCCGTTTTGTGCCCTTATCAATGCCTTCTCTTTGATTTGGGTCTGATTCGGGGTTTGTGTTGGTTTGGGGTTGTTGAAGGGTCGGAGCCACTTCCGTCATTCTTTCCTGGTGCTGAGATTTTCAATCGAATTTTTCCATTAACTTTTCTGGGGAACAGCTGCCTTCTGCGCCCAGATCTGGTGTTGCGCCACCTGGGTCGTACAAACTTTGAGGTTGCTCAGCCTTGGGCTTAATAATCTGGCGTTGCACCGTTTGGGTCGACCTGTTTTGGAGACCGCACCACTTGAGGTTTCCAGATCTGGACACTCTGGTGTCTCTTCATCTGTTGTGGGACTTGTTGATGGTGCTGGTCCTATTGGTGCCTGTCATTGCAGGTTGCCTTGTCTCCGAATCATCTTCTCCCTTCATCAGAATATGTCGGCTTGTGGTTCCCTTCTTGGATTTTTTTTTTCTTTTTTTTTTTAGTTTCAAATTAGTTTAGTTTAATTTAGTTTATCTTAGTTTAATCATGTTGTCTTTTCTGGTAAACAACGTTGGCTCGATATAGTTTTCACATTGAGCGATGTGTATGTGGTCTCATCTACCTACGATGAGTTTAAGTGGTCTCGCTTCCGCAATGACTTTATGTGGCCTCACTCTTCGGTGATGACCTTTTGCAGTTGCTGATACAAATCTGTTATATCTATCATTCTGTGACAGTTTTGTATGGTGGCTTGTGAAGTTTTCGCACATGTGGCAGTCATTTAGAGGTTTTATTATTGTTGTCTTGCTTGAGTAAATTCACCTCCAGATCATTGTTCGGTGTGAAGTTTTCGCACATGTGGCAGTTGTTTAGAGGTTTTATACCCTATCAGTTATATGAGTATCAAACATTAAGTTGTCCAATACTACAACATACATACAATATAGAAAAAAAAGTTGTCTTTATATTGGATGACTTAACGTTTTCTGTTGTTTATTTTTGATAATTTCTATTCCAAAATGTTTACTTTTGTAAGTCATTACATTCTTTATAAATCCACCAAATTCACATTGCATTTCAATAAAGGCCTAATCGGATAAATGGTCCTCGTGGTGATAAGGTTATCGGAAGATAGCCCTCGTGGTAAAAAAATTAGGATTTAAACCCTCGTGGTGTAGTCCGTAAGAAAATTTAGTCCACAAGTGATTTTTCCGTTCGTTGTCCGTTAAATGCGGGGTAAAAATGTACTTTTGAAGTGTTCTTCTTCCTTGTCTCTCTGCGTTTTCTCGTCTAGCTGGGTTGTGATTTTGTTGGGGGAGTAAGCAATGGTAAAGGAGGAAGATCCAGCGCTTTTCTGCAATGGCTACTTTGCCCCTAGATCATTGCGAATTTGGGTTTTTTAGGATTTTTTTTTTTTTCTTTTTTTTTTTTGTCAATAGGAATTCCATTAACAAACAGTAGGGAGGCAATGTGGAAAATACAACCTTCGCAAATGCACTAGATACATTGTGTGGTAACAATAAGTTGGTATGGAATAGAAGTCGCGAAGCTTATAAGAAATAGGGTTGGTTTGAGGACGATGTTCTCTCTGCTTTTAAGCGGTGGCCAACTTGTATGCTTATGTCGGGGCAGAAGCTAATGCAAATGATGGATTTTTTAGTGAATAAGATGGGATAGTCATCAGGAATGATTGCCAAGTACCCTGTGGTCATGAACTTGAGTTTGGAGATGAGACTTATCCCGAGGTGTTCGATTGTTAAAGTTTTGTTGTTGAAAGGTTTGATAAATGAGGACTTCAATTTGGGTTCGATGGAGAAGCATTTCTTGGAGACGTTTGTGAACAGATTCGCAATGATCCAGCGGCAAAGTAGCCACTGCAGAAAAGCGCAGCTGGATTTTCCTCCTTTACCATCGCTTACTCCCCCAGCAAAATCAAAACCCAGCTAGACGAGGAAATGCAGAGAGACAAGGAAGAAGAACACGTCAAAAGGACATTTTTACCCCGCATTTAACGGACAACTAACGGAAAAATCACTTGTGGACTAAATTTGCTAACGGACCATACCACGAGAGTTTAAATCCTAATTTTGTTACCACGAGAGCTATCTTCCGATAACCTTATTAGTTATTACTACGAGAATCATCTATCCGATTAGGCCTTCAATAAATTTTTAATGCTTTGTCTGCACTCTAAACTTTTTTACTACAATGTGTTAGATATTCTAATTACTAAATCAAATTATCACCATTCCATTTAACAAGAAAAAAAAAATTCCAACATTATTCTTATCATTCACAGATGTGTGCTTCTCAAGCTTTGTTCTATACAAATTTTAATGCACCTGACACTCACTTCAGGATCATTGGCATTGATCAAATAAGGTGACCAAATTCTTATCATTGATCATTCAATACCTCCTCTCTTTGCTTAGTTTTTATTCACCCCTCTTAAGACTTATTAACTTTGATATGCTTCAAGTTATTCGTTGGTATAGAACCCACCTCAACTGCTTTCAAAATAATAAGATGCTCCTTTACATAATTATGTGAATTATTTAATTTTCAGAAGAACTTGATTTAAACTTTTTAATATTTACGCAGGCAAGGGAAAGGGAATTGATAAAGCAGAAAGCTTTAGAGAAAGCTAGAAAGCTTCAGGTAATAATCGTGAATGTATTTTGGGTTATTCTTCTTTTCATAGGCTTGAAATGTAGTCCTTATTTTGTGGTTGAAGTTTTCCTAAAAGGTATGAAGATAGCTTTTCTTTTTTTTTTTGTCAATTTTCCTTCCTTTTTGGTTGATGGTGGCAATAATACATGTATAAAAAAATTTAAAAAAAAAAAAAAACTGCATGTTTCAGAGGAAAAAACACACTAGGGCACACTTGGGAATAGCTGGAGGTATTGGCAAACCTCAATTTGTATATACATGCTTTACAATTCGTGGAAAACCACATGAATCCTAAAAATGATAGTAGCAAATATGATGTATTGGAACTAATATTTTATTAACATCTTTCTTGCGGTGTTGGAGTTATGACAAGATGGGTGGTTTACCCTGGACAATGATTTTCGGCCCTCCTTTTTTCCATGTTCTTCCATGCTCTCCTGTTTGTGTGATCACGGTTAAGCCACGTCAACATTTTATATTACTATTTATTTTTGTCTTATTATATTTATAAAAAAAATAATATAAAATATCGACGTGGCTTAACCATGACCACGCAAAACAGGAGGGCATGGAAGGGCATGGAAAAAAGGAGGGCAGACAATCCTTGCCCGTTTACCCCTGGTGTGGGTTGGTGGTTGTTTTGTGTTACGATACTTAAAACTAATGGATTTGTTTCTACTCTTCTTCTTGAGTGATAGTTTAGTTAATTTCTTATTACTTTCTTACAGGTTACATACATATGGTTTATACGAAATAAAAGTTTCTGGTGATGGGAATTATCAGGTATCTGCAATAAAGAGAATGCAAAGTAATAGGTTCGTCATCTTTTGATTTATATTAATTTCTTTGGTATGTGCAATAATGAGAATGCAAAATAACAGTTCCCATTTCTTATTGTTTCCCAAATTAATAATTATGCTATTGATTATATTTTATTGTGTTAATGTGTAGCATAATACAGTGAGAGTGAAGAATGAATAATGGTAAGATTTTCAAGCTATCCAAGGGCTTTAGTGCTTTAGTATAACAAAATGTTTCGACATTTTAAACTTTTTTTTCCTATTTATTTTTAAATTTTTTTGGCCTCTCGAATATATTTTGTGCATTAGTTTTACATTTTGGCTTTAATCTCATTAGTTTGATTCTAATTCAATAAATTTGTTTAACAACCAGTTTTCTTTTAGAAAAAGAATTGGCATTTGAATAAAAGTTGTAGTCTTGCTTGATGATATTACTAGGATGTCTGTTTGCATTTCTTTAAAAAAAAAAATGAGTAAGATGTTATTAGTGAAAAAGGTGTGGTTTAGAGTGGACACCCTTTTCTTTCTACCAATGGAGTTATCATTTCATGTCTACTTTACATCCTTTACAGTTTTTTTTTTTTTTTTTTTTTTTTTGAGGGAAACATCCTTTACAGATATCTATTAGAAAAAAAAACTTAGAGTACTTGAATCTAATGAAAAACGTGATACATAACTGAGCGCAATAGCATTATAGGTTTCATATAACCACCTTATTTAGGAGTGCATTTTTGCTCACCATCATTTAGTGTGGTGTATGCTCACCACCTTATTTATCATCATTAGATGAATTTGAATTTCGAGATTTGTGCCTATATACTATACGAATCTTGAAATTCAAACTCATCTAACAGTGATAAATAGTGTGGTGAGCATACACCACACTAAATGGTGGTGAGCAAACATACTCCCCCCTATTTAGTGTTAAAAAGTTTTGTTGTTGTTATTGTTGTTTTGTCAAACGATAAATTTTATTAGATTAGATGTTATAAATTTCTTCATATCTAAATTCATTGCATCTTTTATTTATTTCTTCTTTTGCCTAGGCTGCTTTCTTGGCAATCAAGAATACTACAGGGAAACTTTGACATTCCAGTGAATAACTTTTATCATCTGTTATCAATGTAAATCAAACAATACTTTTTGATACCTTTTTGCATGTATTTCACAATCTTTGATATACAAGTACTACTATTGAATCAAAAGCCACATAAACTACTTAAATAAACACACATCTAATCTTTTTGCCATCCACATAAAAACTAATCTATGATCTTTTGTATGTGATCTGTATCAATCAAATTTTTTTATATGTGAAAATCTTCTTAATGCTGTCAATATAAACAATATTAATCTTTTATATTTTGTATACACAATCTTTCATACAATTTTTTAGCCCGCAGCAACGCGCGAGTATCAATTGCTAGTTAAATTCTAAAGTACAACAAAGGGGTCTTTAGTTTTGCCTGTAAGCAATGTAGTTCGCCAGAGCAATCAACCGTGCAGCCTTTTCGGGATCGAAACCAGCGAGCTGTTCCTTGGCATCCTTGTTCAGTTTCTCAGCAAACTCACTGGATTTTTCATTCCCCAATAGCTTCGGATAAGTCACCTTATCCGCCACCAAATCCTTCCCCGCCATTTTTCCCAATTCCTGGGACGATTTGGTGACATCGAGGATGTCGTCGACAACCTGAAACAACAATCCAATGTACCTTGCGAAAGTCCGCTGCTTTTCGATTTCGGAATCCGACCCACCTCCCAGAATCGACCCCAGAACCACCGAGCACTCCAACAGCGGCGCCGTCTTGTGGAGGTGGATATATTCGAGCTGTTCGATTCCCAAATCGGACAACCCCTCTGAGTTTTTATCCACCACTTGCCCTGCCACGAGCCCTTCGAACCCAATTGACTTGGCCAATTCCCCGACCGCCCTGATGATTCGGGTCGGCGAGACGCCTACGGTGGACCCGGCGATGTGCTCGAAAGCGAAGGCCAAGAGCGCGTCGTCGGCTAAGACGGCAATGTCCTCGCCGAACACCTTGTGGTTGGTGGGTTTTCCACGGCGGAGGTCGTCATTGTCAATACACGGCAAGTCGTCGTGGATCAACGTCATGGTGTGGATCATCTCCACGGCGCAGGCGCTGGCATGGCCATGGATTCCGACCCACCAAGAAGCTCGCACGCAGTGAGGCAGAGGACAGGTCAGACCCGCTTGCCGCCGGCGAGAAGGGAATACTGCATGGCCTTAGGGGTGGGCACTTGAACCCGAAAACCAAAATCGAAACACAAACCAAATCGAACCACACCAAACGGTTTGGTTTTGTAACTTCAAAATGATTTCGGTTTGAAACCGAAACTGAATGAAGGAAAAACGATTTGTTTTCAGTTCAGAACCTCGAAACCAAACCGAAACTGCATAACTTTATTAAATGTTAAATTCTAATTGGTTATTTCCTTGTCTGCATATGTGTGTGTGCGCGCGTCAAGTATCTGTGATGTCCACATTTTAGTATATGTGTATATGTGTCAAGTGTATTGCTGTGTTTTCTCTGGTGTGTGGTATGTGCTCTGTGTGTGTCCCTTCCTTTTGTGCTGTTTTATTTTTCGCTCTACTGCATGCGGATTCAGACATCAACGACGACATATCTCACTGCCAAAGGTATTATCTGACTGCCTATTTCCATTGATATGTATATGTTACTATACTAACTCCAGTTACACAGAAAACTCGTAATTATTATGCCATTAGTTTGCCTTATGCTCAATTTACTTCAAATTAATGTGGGTTTAATCGTATTTATAGTCCAACTATCTAATCTGGGCTTAATATTATAGATTGATATAATCCAATATATCCGGGTACATGAGTTTTGGTAGACATGCATTATAATGTTTTTTGTCAATTATATTTTTTTTTTGTCAACTCGCTAAATTATGTTATTCAAACTACTTCACTTGATTCCAAGGTAAAGGGAGTTTATGTAACCCTAATTGTATATAGGAAAATGCTAGGAAAACCAACTATTTAGACTAAAGTTCATAAACCATATGATGTGGTTGTAATTGAAGCCATGCTTGATTGAATTATGTTATTGTATGCATGCTTGAACAATGTAGTAATAGAAGACATGAAAATGAAAAACAAACAGTAAATGTTGCTTATAGAAGAGAATTGAAGTGTATATCAAAGGAAAATGAAATAAGATACAATTAGGTAATCATAATAACTTTTTCAAACAATGAAACCAAACCAAAACCGTTTAAAATCAAACCGAACCAAACCAAATGGTTTGGTTTCATTTCAGTTTTAACCTCAAAACCGCACCAAACCAAACCGCAAACACTTGCGGTTTTGGTTTTTGTTTCACTCAAAACCGCACCAAACCGAACTGCGCCCACCCCTCATGACCTCGTGGATCGTAATCGGTTCGCGGAGGGAGACGGCGGCGTCCAAGGCCTGGTTGACTGCCTCGGCCTTCTGGAGCATGTAGGATTTGAAATTGAAGGTGGGCTTCGGGGATTCTTCTTCAAATTCCTCTGTGAGTATCTCTTGCTTGGTGAGAACGGCAGAGACGGCGAAAGGGGAGGCGGGTCGACGGCGGTGTGGGGCGGCTTAGGAAATGGGTATGTTGGTCTTGAGCGGGTGGAAGAGGTTGAAGGATTGGGAGGATCTGGATCTTCCTGCTTGATTCAACATTGAGCAGGTCTGGAATTGGACCCATGAGCTCAGATTCATGCAGCTCATCTTTTTTTATTTGTAACTCTCAAAATTCTATCTAATTTGCTCAAAGACTGTTGGTTTTTCTCTGAAATTGCAGCAATTGGGGGATGGATTTTCAGTGTTATATAGGGAGTGTGGTGCGTCATGGCGGTCCAAATAAGGTCATTGCCACATTGCAAGCTCACATCCCCATTTTGGAATTCTAGAGAGAGAGTGAGAGTGAGAGTCTAGAGAGTTTGTGAATGAGAATGAGGAGGGAGGTAGGGGAAGTGGTGAGAGCAGTACTGAGAACCAGCCAACCAAGGGAGGAGAAGAGGACAAGGCCTCAAGGAGATAGGGTTTATGGGTTGGGTGGAATTGCTTGCCTGACTGAGTTGCCTCCATGCCAATTGGCATGTGGCTTTTTCTATTTTTGAATATAACGGTATTTTAAACTCCTCTAATTACAACGAGTGACATTCGAATTAAGTT